TTAATATTAATTTTTTAGATTATTCATTTACAAGAATGATTTTATATTTATAACATTCTAAAAACTAATACAATTAAAACAAATGCAATACAATATTTATTATTTACCAATTAATGAATAAATAAATACAAAAACAAGTTTTATTCGTAAATTTATAAACATTTACTAAATTATTAAAAAGTGAAACAGCTAAAATGAAATCTTTATTATTTACGATTTTATAACTTCAAATCAATTGGCAATTAGCTGATGTTTTGCCAACTATTAAAATCAATTGGCAATTAGCTGATGTTTTGCCAACTATTCAAATCAATTGGCAATTAGCTGATTTTTTGCCAACTATTAAAATCAATTGGCAATTAGCTGATGTTTTGCCAACTATTTAAATCAATTGGCAATTAGCTGATGTTTTGCCAACTATTCAAATCAATTGGCAATTAGCTGATGTTTTGCCAACTATTAAAATCAATTGGCAATTAGCTGATGTTTTGCCAACTATTAAAATCAATTGGCAATTAGCTGTTTTGCCAACTATTTAAATCAATTGGACATTAGCTGATGTTTTGCCAACTATTCAAATCAATTGGCAATTAGCTGATGTTTTGCCATTTATTTAAATCAATTGGCAATTAGCTGATTTTTTGCCAACTATTAAAATCAATTGGCAATTAGCTGATGTTTTGCCAACTATTCAAATCAATTGGCAATTAGCAGATGTTTTGCCATTTATTTAAATCAATTGGCAATTAGCTGATTTTTTGCCAACTATTAAAATCAATTGGCAATTAGCTGATGTTTTGCCAACTATTTAAATCAATTGGCAATTAGCTGATGTTTTGCCAACTATTTAAATCAATTGGCAATTAGCTGATGTTTTGCCAACTATTAAAATCAATTGGCAATTAGCTGATGTTTTGCCAACTATTAAAATCAATTGGCAATTAGCTGATGTTTTGCCAACTATTCAAATCAATTGGCAATTAGCTGATGTTTTGCCAACTATTAAAATCAATTGGCAATTAGCTGATGTTTTGCCAACTATTCAAATCATTTGGCAATTAGCTGTTTTGCCAACTATTTAAATCAATTGGCAATTAGCTGATGTTTTGCCAACTATTCAAATAAATTGGCAATTAACTGATGTTTTTCCAACTATTAAAATCAATTGGCAATTAGCAGATGTTTTGCCATTTATTTAAATCAATTGGCAATTAGCTGATTTTTTGCCAACTATTAAAATCAATTGGCAATTAGCTGATGTTTTGCCAACTATTTAAATCAATTGGCAATTAGCTGATGTTTTGCCAACTATTAAATCAATTGGCAATTGGCTGATTTTTTGCCAACTATTCAAATCAATTGGCAATTAGTTGATGTTTTGCCAACTATTAAAATCAATTGGCAATTAGCAGATGTTTTGCCATTTATTTAAATCAATTGGCAATTAGCTGATTTTTTGCCAACTATTAAAATCAATTGGCAATTATTGATGTTTTGCCAATTATTTAAATCAATTGGCAATTAGCTGATTTTTGCCAACTATTTAAATCAATTGGCAATTAGCTGATGTTTTGCCAATTATTAAAAATCAATTGGCAATTAGCTGATGTTTTGCCAACTATTAAAATCAATTGGCAATTAGCTGATGTTTTGCCAACTATTAAAATCAATTGGCAATTAGCTGTTTTGCACTATTTAAATCAATTGGCAATTAGTTTGATGTTTTGCCAACTATTCAAATCAATTTGGCAATTAGCTGTTTTGCCAACTATTCAAATCAATTGGCAATTTGATGTTTTGCCAGATGTTTTGGCAATTTATTTAAATCAATTAAATCAATTGGCAATTTTTTTTTGCCAACTATTAAAATCAATTGGCAATTAGCTGATGTTTTGCCAACTATTTAAATCAATTGGCAATTAGTTGATGTTTTGCCAACTATTTAAATCAATTGGCAATTAGCTGATGTTTTGCCATTTATTCAAATCAATTGGCAATTAGCTGATGTTTTGCCAACTATTAAAATCAATTGGCAATTAGCTGATGTTTTGCCAACTATTCAAATCATTTGGCAATTAGCTGTTTTGCCAACTATTTAAATCAATTGGCAATTAGCTGATGTTTTGCCAACTATTCAAATCAATTGGCAATTAGCTGTTTTGCCAACTATTTAAATCAATTGGACATTAGCTGATGTTTTGCCAACTATTCAAATCAATTGGCAATTAGCTGATGTTTTGCCAACTATTAAAATCAATTGGCAATTAGCTGATGTTTTGCCAACTATTCAAATCAATTGGCAATTAGCTGTTTTGCCAACTATTTAAATCAATTGGACATTAGCTGATGTTTTGCCAACTATTCAAATCAATTGGCAATTATCTGATGTTTTGCCAACTATTAAAATCAATTGGCAATTAGCTGATGTTTTGCCAACTATTCAAATCAATTGGCAATTAGCTGTTTTGCCAACTATTTAAATCAATTGGACATTAGCTGATGTTTTGCCAACTATTCAAATCAATTGGCAATTATCTGATGTTTTGCCAACTATTCAAAAATCAATTGGCAATTAGCTGATGTTTTGCCAACTATTCAAATCAATTGGCAATTAGCTGTTTTGCCAACTATTTAAATCAATTGGACATTAGCTGATGTTTTGCCAACTATTCAAATCAATTGGCAATTAGCTGATGTTTTGCCAACTATTCAAATCAATTGGCAATTAGCTGATGTTTTGCCAACTATTTAAATCAATTGGCAATTAGCTGATGTTTTGCCAACTATTCAAATCAATTGGCAATTAGCTGATGTTTTGCCAACTATTCAAATCAATTGGCAATTAGCTGATGTTTTGCCAACTATTTAAATCAATTGGCAATTAGCTGATGTTTTGCCAACTATTCCAATGAACAAGCTAATAAACAAATAGTATTTATTATTTTTGTCTTTAATACTCAAGAAGAAAGAAAATGTATAAAGTCACTTTCATAAATTTAGGTTTTATTACAATTTCAATCATTGCTTTTTAAAAAGAATAAACATTGCCAAGGAGTGAAGGTAATTAAAATAATAGCGATCTCAATGGAAATATCATCCTCTTGACACTGTTTGTTTGTAGGCACAAAGATCCATGTTTTTTGAAAATTTAGTCATGATGAAAAGCAGATAATTGCAAAAATAAAATCTTTTAAAACTTTTTTGACTAAGAATAGTTGCAATGCACTAATTATTTTTTTCATAGAAAATGAATGCAGAGAATACAAATCTTAAATTAAACTTACTCTGAGCATGTAAATTAATTAATAAAAACATTTCTGTGTAAAATTCCTGAAGGTGGTTTAATCAAAATGTTAAAAAGAAGCCGTGGTTTTGATAAAAATTACAGTAATATTGAACAATTTTTTTTGTTTTTATTCGTTTTTAAAACTTAAATATTTTAATTTTTTTTTAAATTTTTGATATAACTTTCCCTGTTTTTTACTAGATGCCTTTAAAAACTAAATAAATGATTAAACATTGAATAGATCAAAATATTTATTTCCTAAACAGTTTGATGATGTTTTTATTATCCTACTACTAATGGCTATAAATGGTAACAAAATTCAAATAACAATGTTCTGATTTCAGAAGATTGAAAATTTTGGGGAGATAATCAAAGTTATTTTGGTGGAAGGTTCCAGGACAATGATGAAAAATGTTAATCTAAAGCCATGATGAAAAGAAAGGCCCTATTCTGGATTTGGCAGACATCAATATGTGACTTAAGACTCTACAAGAGAAAGCAGATAATTCGAATCTGGTAGTAGTGAAATATTATAAAGCAAATAAACCATCTGGATTTTAGGTTTTTATCTGGAAATATAAATTTTAATCCAGCATAAAGATTCATTGGAAACTAAAGCCCATGTTGCTTGCTTTTCCTCAGCATAAAGTTAACACTTCATAAATCTTTAGGCATTTAATCTACATTCTGGAGCAACAAGATCTTATTCTGGGTTAAAAATGAAAATTTTTATTTCAATCAATCATGAGTTTGAATTCCAGTCTGGTTTCATTACATTCACTTAAGCACAAATACCTTTGGGAAAAGTATGAATCTATTTCCTCCCATAGTTCATGTAACATACTAACTGTAAATAGCCATAAATGTTCAATAATTTTTAAAAATTCATAACAAGACAGAAAAAAACAATGGAATTTTGGATTAATCTTACTTGAATCTGAAATCATTTTGTAAGTTAAATAAGAGAGATGATAACCTCAAAATGGCACATATGAATAATGACACAAAACAGATTAACAAGGTCATATTATAGTCATAGTTTATAATACAACTAATAAACTTATTATTTATTATATTAACCATTTATTTAACTGCCTATATATTTACAAAGTTAGGGAATTTGATATGAGATTTGGAGTTTTGAGGATTAATTTAAATGACAAATTTTGAGTCTGAAGATGAAAGTACGAAAGATAATGACGGTGAAACAGATGTTTTATGTTTAGAGTGAAAATTTGAAACAGTAAAAAAATGAATGAATGCATCCAATAATTACAGTTATATTTTGATAGTCTTTTGACAAGTTCATTAAGTTCGTCCTTTGTTGAACTGAATTTTGCATGCTTCCTTTTGTGCTTTATTTTTGTAGTAAGTCATTTGTCTTTTCATTGTCCATCTTTTTTTCAAAACAGGATAACTGCCAGAGCAGATTACATCTCAGCCATTGACTTGGCATCCAATGCAAACTAAAAGTTATATCCAGCATGTGTATAAAGTTTCTTTGCACATATATTATTGTTTTCCACTTGAATGAATATGTAATTACCAAGTTACTGTACAGTATAATAAATAGATGTGATTACAGGCAATTTGTGACTAAAAAAAAAAATGATAGAATGAGGAATGTCGGTTTGCACTGGCCTCAGTTAGAAAAACCAGCATTTCAGAAAATGCTTCATGTAAAGTTTCTATGCGCCTCTTAAGGTGTTACTTTTTACGGACGCATTCCGAAAGGAGCCTGCAATGCAGAGGCACGCAAAACTGTAGGGTTATAGTCCAGATCATTTCCGTATGACCTTTTCCGTTCTGCATATTTTTGCCGTCTACGCTTGTTGATTATTTCTCTCTCCTCCTGCGACAGCCGTGCTCTCGCTCGCTGCTTCATCCGACGCCAATACTCCTTGCGTTTCTCCTCCAAGTCAGAACTGCTCGTTGGCGCTGATCGAGATTTTAGCCTGTGAGCTGACGATACCACAGACTGGTAACCTTTACCAGCATTTACAGAAGTGATGCTATAAAGAAGTTTTTGTTTGGGCTGCAAGTTTGGAATGGATGACATTGCCATTGAAGATGACTGCTGCTGCTGTTGGTGTTGCGAACAAACCTTTGACTTTGCATGGTTTTGTCTTCCTTCCGTAACCCCACGGCGAGTAGCTTTCATCTGTGTGGCATTGAGAATTTTTGCTCTCAGTCGGTACTTGTCAATCACATTCTGTGCAGACTTGGTGAGGAATGGCAGGCCACCGTCTGCTAAGGATGTTGCCAGGGACGTTTCCAGGTCAGTAGGGTTGGGAAAATTCCCCTCTTCTTCCTGATTATCAAACGAAGATGGAAAGCTGAAGCTTTGGGCTAGCCTGGGTAACTTGTCTAGTACAGACACTACAAAAGATTTAAACAAGGTTCAGTCAGAAGAGGGCTCACATATGGCTGAGAGGGTGGACATTCAACTAGACAAGAAGACCAAATTAGAGAATTCAGTTTTAGAAATGAGAAACAAGATCACGTGTAAGAATTAAGCAAAGTTTTTTTTCATTTATTTTCTCTTAACAAACAGTTATTTTCGCTTAATAAAAGTAACATTACTTTATAAATAATGTATTAAGTTTCTGGAAGGGAAAAAGACTATCAACTTTTATTTATACTGATTTTAACTTAAGCTGACTTGTCATAAAAACAGAGGAATATTTAGTGGCAGATCAAAATTCATCTTCCTTTACCTACAACATTTTTTAGAATTAAAAAAAATATTGATTTCTATCATACTGAAATTTCTATCATACTTTTTCAGAATATAAGTACAATATCAAATTGATCTCTGAATTTGTAAAGTCATATTGGAACACTGATGAATTTCATTGCAATCATTTTAGCACAAATAGATTGGAAAAGGAATGTGTATATTTATTCTCCTTATAACTTTCAGATAAGTAGCAGGAAAGATTGGGCTCTATAACCATGATTGGAAGCCAGGCTAGGAGATGAAAAACTCTGAATTCAATACGTTATGTAGGCTTCATGATCACATAATATACACCCTTTGAAAAGATTTGAGTTTGTGGATATTATGATCTCAAATTAATGGGGAAAATATTAAGAGTTTCTTGTGTTTTTTTAATTATTTCAATACTTAGGTATCTCAGTCTCATTGGAAACAAGTACTGTTTTCACAGTCAAAGAATGCTACCTAAGCGCTGTTATGAGAAGTAACAATATAGATTAAAGAATGTGTACTTTATTTTCATTTACAAATGTCAAGTTTAAAACTGCCTTTATATTACTGATAACTGCATACGACTGATGCCCTTTTTCCGAATTCATAAGAATACAGTTATTAATGGCATGCAATTTCAATCTTTATATTTGTAAATAAAAATAAAGTACAGATACCTCTTTAAAAATTCGGAGATCAATTTGACAATGTATTTATATTACAAAAAAAAACACCACTTCTAAAATGATAAAAAAAACTCAATATTTTTTTTTTATTCTGACAAATGTTGTTTGTAGAGGAAGGTCTAATGAATGTGAATCTTCAAAAATTATTCCCCAAAAGTTTTATCTCTATTTTTTTACAAGTGGACCACTCAATTTAAATAGATCCCTTTATTCTTCTTATTCTTTGTTTGTATTTTTATAACATTCATTCGACAAACATGGATAAATGTGCTCACAATAAGATGTAGCATCAAAAGGACAGTTTTTTCCCATGATACCACTTTTTCTAACTACTTTCACTCTTTGGCAATGTTTATTGTTTTAAAAAGCAAAATTTTAGAATTGGAATAAACCTCAACAAATGATGAAATTGAATTTATACATTTTTTTGTTCTTGAGAATTTACAACAAAAATATTAAAGACTATTTAAATATTATATTTTTTATACAACATTCTTAAAACTAATACAATTAGAACTAATGCAATGCAATATTTATCATTTACCAACTTATAAAGAAATAAATATGAAAATATTTTTTTATTCATAAATATATAAACATTTACTAAATTATTAAAATATGTGAACAAACTATAAGGAAATCTTTATTATTTACCATTTATAAAGTTTGAAAAATTGGCAATTACTTTGACCAACCATTCAAAGAAATAATATAATAAATAGTGTAAATAAACAATCTTATTGTTTTTTAATCATTTCAACCCATGCAAGGCAGTAAAGCCATAAATGGTTACTGGGTCGGAAAGAATTAGGAAACAGAAACATTAGAAGAAAACAGTAGACAACAATTGACATTGCATTTAAATTTTTGAAGATCAAAATTAAATGGAAAGCATGGAGCCAGAAGAGAGTTCCAGAAGCGAGAAGTGCAGGAGAAGAAACTGTTAGCAAAGAACTTACAGTTACATCTCACCAATTCAACTGTAAATTGATGAGACCATGTTGCCAATCACATGCTGTGCTTAAATTCATGAAGTTTAGGTACCAAGACAATGAGTTTATCCAAACAACTTACCATGAAAGTATTTACAGAAAAGTCACAGGGAAGCTACATTACAGTGGTGGGAAGGTGATGAAGCTGAGATGCCAGGTCAGAACCAATAATATTGTTGATTCTTCTTTGGATTTTATCAAGAATCTCTAAATATATAGCAGGAGCACCAACCATATGTGGTAGCAATATTTGAAGTATGGTAGACTTAAAGATATGTAAAATAGATTCCGGAGAGAAAAATTTTCTCGTACAACACAGCTAAGCAATTTTCTTAGCAGCAGATCTAGCAATGGATTCTATATAATCTTTCCACTTTAAGTCAACTGAGAATTTTAGCTCAAGAAGGTACAATGTGTCTTCTCTTCTGAAGGTTAGCCTCAGCCATGCTGAGAATAAATAAATAGTGTTTATTATTTTTGTGGTAAATTCTCAAGAACAAAGAAAATTTATAAACTCATTTTCATACATTTTGGTTTTATTACAATTCCAATCATCACTTTTTAAAAGAATAATTGGTTGGTTGACTTTGTTTAGTGGCATATCAACCTCCATGCCAAAATCTAAATATTTTATACATAATTTTATACTTTCAGAGTAAAGGTATGTTTTTTAGATATATAGTTTGTAGATAATAAACTGTAATGTTGGTAATTTTCCTATAATAATGTATTTTATATTTTTTTAATATTTTTTCTTGTTGCATTTATTATCATTTTACTATAAAAATATATTGTTGCTTATTTTATTATAAAAATCTAATGTTGATTTTTGTTTGGGAGTTCACTATTTGCCCATAGTTGGGACCCTAACAGGAGCTACCACCCTAGGTTAGGGTGGACCTGGGAACAATAGCAGTTAAGAGGTGGTTCAATGCTCCTCAAAACATCCAATCTCCTGATTAGAGGCCTTGCTGCCGGATGTAGTTTATCGTCATACTCAGGATGATTAAAAGAATAAACATTGCCGAGGAGTGATGGTAATTAAAAAGTGTCAATGGGAAAACAGTCCTTTTGACACTCCATCTTATTGCAGGCACATTTATCAATGTTTGCCTATTATTCTAATTTCCAGTATTTCTTTAAGTAAAACAGTCATAAAACTTTGTCGGTGTATATTGATAAATGCGGACAAGCATATGTAAATAAATTCATCTTTAACAATTTAGGTGAGGATTAAGAGATTCTTATACAATATGTATGTTTCAAAGAGAAATAAGTATCTGCATGGTTCAGGGTTTGTCACATAAGACAAATTGATAAGACTAAAAGAAGGCGTCAATGACAAAAGATAAAACAGGTAATATTTCAGGATAGAAAATTAGATATTTTAGAGGAAGACAAACATACTAAACTCCATTAAACTTTACAGGTAATGCGGCTAAAATGACAATACCTTTCTTTAAAAGAAACCAAATAGAGAGATGTCTTTCAATTTTCAAAAATTTAATAACTGGGTTTTTTATTGATTGATTGATTGATTGATTCTTTTTTATAAACATGGTGTTGTGGTTTCAAGTTCTCCTTTTGACAGTTTTGTTACCATTTGCTTGATGATTTTCTACATGTTTTGATTCTAAAAAAATTAGCTTATCAATTGACTTCAGGATATCTTTTATTTTGCATTCTTTTCCAAACAGCCAAATTGACCGATTGATTGATTAATTTTTCTGTGGCTTATCGACCTTTGCAGTTTATTTAAAGCCAGAAAACATTTTTAGACTGTAAGAATATTCTTGTTTTTTGAGATAATTAACCCATAGATGTGGGGAGAAGAGGTGAATACACAACTTTCCCAACAGTAATTGCATGTAAGTGAATATAACAAACCTAACTGGAATTGAAATTTGGCTCTCTGATTAACAATTCTGAACCATTATCAATTACACCACCTGCACATCCAAGCTTACAGTACCTGATATTCCCAAGCTGCTACCTACCTAGGTACTGACTAGACTTGATGTTGCTTAACTTCAGTGATCATATGAGAATCAGTGTTTCAACATGATGTTGCCATAAGCCTTAATAATTAGGAGTTTCATACTTTTTCCAAAGATAGAAAAATAATTATGAAAAACGTATAGGAACTTGGTTCGGGGGGTGCTAATAATGACAAAATGCCAGGTTGGCTTGCATAAAGCCAACTGAAATATGTTGAGATTTCTAATGTAATAAAATATACTGCTAATACACAATCAAGATCAGTAAATATTAACATGCAATTTTTGGTATCACAAAATTTTTATAAATGCTATGTTCAAATAAAGTACATCAATTGGGAATGGGGTCTCTTAATTTACAACATTTTAATGAACCTACACACTCCTGTTTATTTGAGAGGCAAGAATAGACTTAAAATAACTCATCAGATAAATTCCAGTGCTGATAAAATTAAGAGGAGAATCTAAATTTTAATTAATCACACATTTATGAAAGATAATTAACCAGCATCATGTGGACATTTAATGACTACTAAAGAAAAAATGACTTATGACCATATCACGTTGAAATACCGTTTCTTGAACAATCAGCATAGTTAAGCAATGTCAAGCCTTGTCAGTACCTAGATGGGTGACCACTTGGGAATACCAGGTGCTGTAAACTTGAATGTGCAGATGGCATAATAGGTTGGAATTGGAAATCAGATAGCTGAATTCCAATTACAGTTAGTTTCATTATATTCACTTACACACAAATAACATTGAGAAAAGGATGAATCCACCTCAGCTATGGGTTTAATTAGTAGGACCTGTATCAATAAATCATTAAACCACCCACAAAAAAGAAATTTTCTGGCTTTAAATAACCTGCAAAAGATTGATAAGCCATAAAAAACAAGCAAACTAATCTAAAATGAAAATGGCTAATCTTTTCTGAGAGAGAACTTCAAAATTTTTAAAGAAAGACAAAGGAGAGAGATTTTAAGAAATAACT